TGATTGCTGTCATTCTGGTATCACCATCATTATTATTTTTTATGTTTACCTGAGTTTTTCCTCCTCAACATATGATACAGGGAGGAAGTAAACCATGTATTTCAACAGAATGAATCTAAAAGAGAAAAAAAACTTCAAAATCTGACAATTTGTATCATCCAACACATTTCACAAGTGTAAAAATAATTCATTGATTGTAGTAAGTACACTTTCAAGCTGAAGTAGGCTTGATATGCACACAAAAGGTACATAACATATCTTGTCATGCACACTGCTACTGGTCTAAGCGGTTGATGTGGTAAATGCTCTTATGTACCACAAACAAAATGAAATTACAATTATCATTTAGAGACAGACCTTTAACAAACAATAAAATAATGAAACTGTATTACAGAAGAGACCTAAATATGTAAAAGATGACAATTTTTCGACTGATTTCCCAAATCTTTGGCAAAAAATGGAATTTTTACTTGTTAAATTACTCACTCATTATGCAAGATAGATTTAGAGTATAATACACTTATATTATATTTAGATAGATATATTAGAAGTATAGCCATAAATTAGTATAGATATAAATTAGAAGTATTGATAAGATATATTAGAAGTATAGTTGATATATTAGAATAATAGATAGATAGATATATACACAAATCTTTAATACTAGGAAATAATGTTGATGCTACAAGGTGGTAAAGGTGATGAAGATGGTGATGATGATAATATAACTTAAAATGTTTTTTTATTATTAGTAGTAGTAGTAGTAGTGGTAATAGTAATAGCAATATTAGTAATGTTTGTAACAGTACTACCTGTACTAGTACTAATAGTAACAACAGTATTAGTATTAGTAGTAACAGTAGTAGTTGTTGTAGTAATGGTAGTCTTAGTAGTAATAATAGTAACAGTAATATAGTAGTAGCAGTAATAGTAATGGTAGTAGCAATAGTAGTAGTAGTAATAATTGCTACTACCATTACTATTACTGTAGTTACACAGTATATAGTTACTATTAGCTGTTACTATTATTATATTACTGTTACTATTATTATTATTAATTTACTATTATTAGTAATTGTAATATGGTAGTTGCAGCAGTAACAGTAGTAGTAATAATTGTAGCAGTAACAGTAGTAGTAGTAATAATTGTAATAATAGCAGTATGGTAATTGTAACAGTAACAGTAGTAGTAGCAATAGCCATAGTAATAGTGGCAATAATAGTAGTAGTAATAATAGTAGTAATAGCAATAGTAATAATGGTAGCAATAAAAGTAGTAGCGGTATTAATACTACTACTACTACTACTACTAACGGTAACATTACCATTCTAACAAATTGTACTACAACTACTACTAATCATCATCATTATTCTATACAACGGTAACCTCTCTCACGGTATGTTTGTTTCCTTTTTAGGGAGTGCAACAACAGGCCAAAACATCAAGGCTGTAAATGCTTGGCAACTACTAACCAACAGCCCAAGTATTGATGGTTCCTTGTAAATTATTTTTATACTAATATATGCATGCAAATACACATGTTTAAAACGATTGGAAACATACATTTCATTCATATTAGCGGTGATTCTGTCTATCTTATCTGCACGGCTGCGATAGCATCAGGAATGTACCAAAAATAACTGGCTTAGGAGAGAACAAAGATGCCAACACAAAGGTTACAAGATTATAAAAGTCTATAAAAAATGATACAATCGGTGAAGATATGTAATCAGTGCCAAAAGACCAGGACACGGGCAAGACAACCTGGTTTGAAAAGGTTACAAGAACGTTAAAATATTGGAGGAATATGGATATATCTCTGGAATGACGGCTGGCTGATAGTGAGAGGTCGGGGGCATGCTGGGTCATCTTGGATGGGCGGAGCTTGTTTCATAGCCCCTGATTGGCCAAGGACAGCGAGGGGACTGGTCAGCCCTTTCTTAGTTTTCTTGCAGAGGAGTTTTATTAAAGGAAGTGTGAGTGTGAGTGTGAGTGTGAGTGTGAGTGTGAGTGTGTGTGAGTGTGTGTGTGTGTGTGTGTGTGTGTGTGTGTGTGTGTGTGTGTGTGTGTGTGTGTGTGTGTGTGTGTGTGTGTGTGTGTGTGTGTGTGTGTGTGTGTGTGTGTGTGTTGGCCGGGCCACTCCAGAGAAAAGGCCCGGGCGAAGCATGACTTCGCAAATCTAACTGAACTGAACTGTGTGTGTGTTGGAGGGGTGTGTGTGTGTGTGGGGGGGGGGGTAACAACCTCGTCCACGCCTACGCTATATTTAACCTTGGGGCTACAAGAAAACGAATAATGATGATGCAAATAAATCAATTATAATTATAATTCATGATAATAAATGTCATAATAATTCATATCAATAATGAATAATAATAATAATATGACAATGACAATGACAATGACAATGACAATGACAATAACATATGAATATGATAATAATAATAATAATAATATAATAATAATAATAATAATAATAATAATAATAATAATAATAATAATAATAATAATAATAATAATAATAAATAATAATGATATTATAATAATAATAATAATAAAATCATAATAATGATAATATTTATAATAATGATAATCATGATAATAAAAATAATAGTAAAAATAGTGATACTCGTAAGAATAATAACAATAAGAACAATAGTGATTATAGTAATAATAACGATAATGATAAGAAGGATAAAGATAAAGACTGATAATGATAATTATAATATCAATAATGATCATAATAATAATAACGGTAATATTGACAGTATCAACAACACTAACAATAACAACAATAACAACCAGATATATACATATATTATATATATATATATAATATATATATATATATATGTATGTATATATATATATATATATATATATGTATATATATATATATATATATATATATATATATATATATAAAAGATAATGAGGATAATATTGGTCTTAGTCTCGTATGATGAGGATGAGGTAGAAGTCCTCACACCTCGGCTAAAGTATCAGATATGTCCCTACCCTTCATTACTGATTCCGAGGGGCGGGTGTCCTTGAGACGGCCTCTATCCTCCATAGAATCCCTAGTCGACTCCTCCTCCTTCAAGCGTCCTTTTGCGGGTCTGGAGGATTCTTGTCCCCCTGAGAATCCCCTGCACACTGTCTCCCTTTAAGTGGAGTTTAGAGAATCCTTCCACATTCCCTTTATGGACGAAGGATGGTGTCCTGCGAGGATCTGTTGTGGAGGATTGAAGCTGGACGGGTTGTAAGTAAAACAAAAGAGGAGCGGGAAGGAATGAAGATGGAAAATAAACACCTACAAGAGTAATCTAAAGTGAAGTTACTATTGGACCTTAAGAAACTGTGCGCAATATAAAGAAAGAAAAAGAAAATATATCTATTTCTCTCCATTTCTCCTTTATTTATTCAATTATTTATCTATTTATTCTATGATTTTCATCTTTTTGGGAGGTGAGAGTAAAACTTCTACTTCTGCCCTGTTGTTATTTTTATCAGTTCCTATTATTATCATTCTTTTAATAAGAAAAAAGGGGACAGGGGCGGAAAAAAAACAGCAGCAGAAGACTGACAGAGTGAAATAAACCTATCAAAGAATAAAACATGGACATATATATAGAAAGACATATGAAGACGGGGTAGCGATGAAACGGACAACCTAGAATATGATGTAGGGGAGAAAACAAGAAAAAAATGACGCACGGGCATATCCCTCCACCCATCCCGCCACACACACACACACTAACTCACACGCACACACACACTTACTCACACATACAACCTACTCACTCACAAATACAACCCACTCACTCAAACATACAACCCACTCACTCAAACACACACTCACTCACACACACACACACACACACACACACACACACACACACACACACACACACACACACACACACACACACACACACACACACACACACACACACACACACACACACACACACACACACCACACACTTACTCACTCTCTCTCTCTCTCTCTCTAACCCGAGCTCGTATAAAAAGTCACCTCGTTCAGTGAGGACTATTTTCGGCCTGCGCACTCGGCGACTCTGAGTTGAAAGGCAGCGGGGATGGGATGTCGAACACGAAAAGATTTAGAGGAAAACAGGCAGTTTGGGGCCTTATTCACAACCTGCTTAGTGTTCAAAGGTCGTGGAGATCGAATGAGAGAAGCCGAGTAAGAGAGGGTGAAGCAGAAGAAAAAAATCAGAAAGAAAAAGAAATAATAAAGTAAAAAAGAGAACAGTTAATGTATCTGAGGCTTACAGACACGGGTTACAGATCAAAGATTAACGAGGAGGGAGATAAGGGAGAGGGAGAGAGAGGGAGAGGGAGGGAGAGAGGGAGAGGGGGAGAGAGGGAGAGGGAGAGAGGAGGGAGAGGGAGAGGGAGGGAGGGAGGGAGGGAGAGAGTGAGAGAGGAGAGAGAGGGAGAGAGGGAGAGAAGGGAGAGGGAGAGAGAGGGAGAGGGAGAGAGAGAGAGAGAGAGAGAGAGAGAGAGAGAGAGAGAGAGAGAGAGAGAGAGAGAGAGAGAGAGAGGAGAGAGAGAGAGAGAGAGAGAGAGAGAGAGAGAGCAAATACATAATACTTTTATTAAAACACAGCCCTCCTTCTGGTCACTTCGGGCACCTCATGATGACAGTGCTAGGGCCTGGGCATGGGTATGGCTGCCCAACCGTCTACCCCCTAGTAACACTGGTCCTGTTTCATAAGCAATATCTGCCCTTTTTTGTATTTATCTTATGAAATAGGGCAAAAACTTACTTGTGTCGAACTTGATGTTTTATCAAGAATCTTTTTTATATAGCTGATAAGCATTTCATTGTGCTTGAACCGAGAAAAAAAAAAACACGAAAAAACACTAACTAGCAACTCAAGACAGACACTGTCGAACTATCCCAATCGCGATCACTTTTTCCTTATTACAAATACCCAAACGGACAAGTCGACGTTGCCGAACAATTTATTTCGTATTGGAATTTCGAGATTTATACGAGTCATCACTTAGCCGTTTGGATTTTATTAACGCGAGAAAAAATAGGCGTAGAATGTCGACGTCGCACCCGCTGTATAGAGCCTTATTTATAACCCACTCACTGGTCCAAGGTCGTGTCAGATTATCCGCTGTGACCGAGTGAGAGAGACCGAACAAGAGAGAGAGGCAGAAGAATTAAAGAAAAAATAAACCAGAAGAAACACAGAGAGAAAGAATAAAATAAAAGAAAGGGGGAGAAAGACACACACCAAGAAAAGAAGAGAACAGTCCACCCGAAGCGAAGTCACCATGGATGCCGTTGTTGATTCGGCGAAGCTCTTGTTCAACGAGTTCCTTCCGTATTGGCGAAGGGCCGAGGGGGCGCTAGCAGTCGTCGGGTTCTGTTACGCTGGCTCAGTCGCTATTAGCTTGCTATGGCAGGTCACGAATGGGGTCAGAGTTCATTTCTGGTCGCGACTTTGGAAGAAAGACCTGGTGGGGAAGTACGGGAAATGGGCAGGTACGTACGGTTATTTTTTTCTCGTTTTTTCCCCTCTGTTTAACTCTTCTTCTACGTCTTTTACTCTTTATTTCAACTTCCTCCTTCATTTGAAAAAAAATCTCCAGCTTCATTTTCATTTTAATCAATTATAACACATCCATGAAAATAATTATGTCCAAAGAGGCTCTGACAACGGACGCAAAATGATTACCAGAAGACCTGAGTCGTTACCCCCTCGTATCCCTCCGCAGTGGTCACGGGGTCCACCGACGGCATCGGCAAAAGCTACGCCAAAGAACTTGCAAGTAAAGGCATGAACGTGCTCCTGGTTTCCCGGACGAAGGCAAAGCTGGAGCGAGTTGCACAGGAGATAAGTAGGTTCAGCGAGGATAAGATAAAGCTAAAAGAAAGGATGCAAAAAAAAAAAAAAAAAAAAAAAAAAAAAAAAAAAAAAAAATGCACATCACGTTAATACAAATAATCAATTGACATTTGATTCATGGCTACGATTTATTTACTTCATTTACTTTCAAGGTGTGATTTTCATCCATCACTACCATCGCCTTTATCTTGTCTTCACGTCACTGAATTCTGCCGTTCGTTTCAGGTTCTAAATACGGCGTCGAAACGGATATCGTTCAGGCTGACTTCTCGGAAGGTCGATCAGTGTATGGCAACATTGCTGAGCATCTGAAGGGAAAGGATATTGGGATCCTTGGTAAGTTTCTTTATATTCTGTAGCTGAACGCTTGTTAATCTAATTTTAAGAATAACTAAAATTACAAAAAATACTAAAACAGTAATTTACATTCATTTGTTATATCTAGTTTTGCAAACCCATGTATACATATAGACGCATACGTGTGCAAAGGTAGATATTTGCATATATATATATATATATATATATATATATATATATATATATTATATTATACCATATATGTGTGTGTGTGTGTGTGTGTGTGTGTGTGTGTGTGTTGTGTGTGTGTGTGTGTGTGGTGTGTGTGTGTGTGTGTGTGTGGTGCGTGCGTGCGTGCGTGCGTGCGTGCGTGCGTGCGTGCGTGCGTGCGTGCGTGCGTGCGTGTGCGTTGTGTGCGCGCGCGCGTACTGTGTGCGCGCGCGTACGTGTGTGTGCGCGCGTATGTGTGTTTATCAATACATATATATATATATATATATATATATATATTATATATATATATTGTGTGTGTGTGTGTGTGTGTGTGTGTGGTGTGTGTGTGTGGTGTGTCTATCTATCTATCTATCTATTATCTATCTATATATATATATATATAATATATATATATATATATATATATATATATATATATCATAAATGTATGCATGTATGTATGCCGTATGCGTGTGTTGTGTGCATACATATATCCAAGTATGTGTTTGTACATAAGTATGTATCCGGAGTATACAAGTGACCCATTCTTTCCCCAACTGCAGTAAACAACGTGGGTATGCTCGTTACCCCCCGACTCTTCCTTGACATCCCAGAGGACGACATCTGGGCATATGCCAGTGTCAATGTGGCCTCCGTGCCCGCCATGGACTCGGCTCGTGC